TTCATGCACCGATACTCGTACCACCTTCAAAGGTCTGCAAAGGGCCGAGACATTTTCTTGGCTCATATTTTAAGGAAAAGGTTTAAAATAGATGAAATGAATCGATTTTCAATACGTCGGTTTAATAATTCTTTTCAAGACTCTCGCAGACCTCAATTTTCTGTAAAAGATACAGAAGTCTGCAGAACTAAGAGCAAAAAATCCATTGTAACTCGTTTTCTATTTAGAAATTTAATGGTTCGTATGAAATCGTTAAGTGAACGTAATTAATGTACTTGCCTCAGACTTTTATATACCAAATTGAGAATAATCTTTATTTTTGCACGAAAAACTTAATTTCTTAATTTTTTCAAATATAAAAATCACACCTAATTGACTTAACAACCTCTACTATTTTATAATTTCCATTCTACACGATAATATCTGCCAATTTTTTTTATTCATTGCAGCAGAACGTATAAAATCTCCTCTCCATGTATTACAAACCCACGCATAGTAACTCAACACGCATCAACGCATACATACGACTTGTGCAGAGGGGTGAACCTTCGGTAACCCCGGAAACGGAAGCTCTTTGGTGGGTTGCTCTCCGAGCTATTGTTCTTAGCGCAAAAGGGAATGCATAAACATTGTACGCGGTGAATCGAGCCTTTCTCGTAATACGAATTTCGGGCGTATCCAGCGGAAACGAAATATACGACTTTAACGTTAACGAGCGAGCACTGTTACTTCGCCGTCTGTCAGCAATATTGCATCATTATGTCGCGGCATGAGACATTCTTTGTGCGTTTCGCCATCGAGAACGCAATATCTATTCAAAAGCTTAGGACTAGAACCAAATACATGATTCTTCAAATAGTTTTCGCATTATTTTTAAAGACTCGAACTTTTATTATCGATTAATTCTCTGATTTTAATAATAGCGTAGTAATAGAATATTTTAAATCTACAGTTTTTGAATGATTATTTATTGCAAGACTTCTTAGATTGTTGTCTATAGTAATTATATTTTCACAGTTTTAATTTTCCAGTAGAACACACAGAATCCGAAAACGCATTTCTTGCTTTCAATTAAATTTATTGTTTAATATAATCTCAGCGTGCTTTTTAAAGTGTCTCATAAGGTGATGTGAAGTGTTGATATAAACGATGTTCACTCTTCCAAGTTTTCACTATCTTAAAGGTCATCGTCCAAAGTTCACGAAACTATTGGATGTTCGTGGCGACGGTTATTAACTTGTCATCCAAGTTTTACCTTTTTTTAAATCAAATGTTACGACGTAACTCAGATCGTTCTATTATTCGCAGCTTTTTTAATTTTTAACGTTAATGGAACTGGGAAGTCATGTCAAAACGGCGTTATCGTAGGCGTCTAACGTTATCTATAGAGGGTTTTGGTGTACAAGGTATTTGTGATTACATGTATCGATGTCGGGTGCGTGACGTTTGCATAGCAGTGTAATAAGGGAAGCTCTATTTGTCGAACAAACGGATAGACGGGAACGTCGTATTTTCCGATAAGTAACAGCGAGATCGCGGCGCAAAATTTAAGCTATTACTCGAGCTTTCTCGGGGGAAAATTTATCTCCCGGAGAGGAGATATTTTTACTATTTGCAGCAGGACGACGCAGCCAAATATAACGATTATCATTTTATTGGATGCGCGTTAAACTCTTACTATAAATACGATTATATATATTCTTATCTGGTGAATTTTTTTATCATCTGACATCATAATTATTCCGGAAAATAATTGGACTATATGCGTATTTTATCAAATTTATTACAGTGTTATTTATGCGATAAAAAGTAATAGAATATATAATCCTGCTTTCACACAAAAAGGATTATTTTCACATTTACTAGAAATTATTTATATGCAAAAACTTTTAAGAAATATGAAAAGATTAGATTGCGAGAGCACATCATAAGCTGTCCTTGCGAGGAAAACATAAATTAGAATGCCTTAATAGAACTTTTGCAAAGAAAGTGCAGTAGAAAATAGGTTATCGAATTTTGCATCCTGAATGATAATGCGCTGTATATCAGATTATGCGAACTTCGCTCTTTGCGCCCGTAAGCGGGGTTATCACGTAATAAACTTTCCGATTTGCTCTTTTCTTTCCTTTTTCGGTTTGCAAGGCGCCTATTCTTATCGTCGTTGCTGTTCAAATGCCGTGTAACAACACATCAACACGGTGTGCGACTGCTGTTTCATGATGACAAGCGTTCAAAGTTTCCCTCGTGACACGTGACATAGCAATGTAACCACGGTGCGCGTACTCATTATGTGTGTGCTTCATGGTGATGTGAGCGGAATGAGAGGAAATTATGCCTCGTGTCTCCTTACGCCCCAATACTTCAACGAGTGTCGGTGCACACTTACGTAACGTACAGAAGACGAATAGCTTTTACCGTCGCGTTCGACGAATTAACTGCCGCCTACAATCTCGCTTACAGCACGCAGCCGTGGCGTCGTGTATTTATTTTAAGACTGTTGCGTGCTTTTCGGAGTCTATTCTCAACCTCATGCTCGCCGCCCGTCACATTTAGGGATTTGTCAGTCTATCCGCCTGCTGGCCGGTCTCTCCCTTTTCCTTTCTCCGTCCGATTGTTCTCTTCTTCCGGTACCGATTCCCCCTCGACCGCGCTATCGTTACTCTTTCCACCATCGCCGTGCGAGACGTTAATCACCGGGCAAAGAGATCGATCAGCGATTAATGAGAAACGTCGACGGTGCGGAGGTGGAAATTTACACGGTCCGTTCCGAGTAGGGTATCGTGATCGATTCGGTATCCCAGGCACCTCTCGGAACGCGAAGTAGTAACGGAGAGTTGGAAGTTGGACGCGTGGAATTAGGAGTATTAGAAAGAAGCCGCCGCGGTGGTTGTAATCCACGTTAACCTTTCGAGGCCTCGGGCGAACTCCTTAATAAAGCATGCGAGACCGCCATTGTGGCGGGAATGCCGAGAAGTATTGTACCCAGAGCAAGGGTGGTCTCTAAGTTTCACGATCTGCCGGTATTTGTGGATAGAAACTGTTTGACATCTCCGACGAACTTTTTCCGCTCCCACACCGGCGGTATGCTCAAAGTTTACCGGTTTCTAATGTCTATAATATTTAATTGAGAGTTCTATCGTTCGGCATAAACGAATCGTTTAACGCTGAGGCTGACCGCGCTGTGCATTGCGCGTGAAAAGCATTGTTGTATAGATTAAAGGCTAGTCGAATGCTGAATAAGCTTGATTTGCGAGAAGCAACGGGATACTGAATCAACTAAAATGAGCGAACTGTTTAGTAACGGCAAACAAAGGTATATTATGGCTCTATGTTTATCGGTTCATTATTAGATATTAGGAAACATTAGCGGAAAGACAAATTGTTGCCGTTAATTAATTCGGTTGTGTTATTAAGTATGTTTACGACGTGTACGCGCTACGCACAAGAAACTTTACCATAGAAAATTCGTATTATTGCGTGCACAGTCGACTAATTGTTAACGCATAATCGGTCGTTGCATTGTTTTAATGGTCGCGCTGTTTCAAAATACAATACTTCACCGATAACACTTAAACTGTATTGCGGTCAGAAGAGAATTAGCGATTAAGTTCATTCAAATTAATATACTCGATATGTTCTTGAATTGGTAATAGAGTCGATAGTGAATTTAAGCGTGTACGACATAATAACTACGCTGTTAGTATTTCATTACTTCCAACCTAGTTTTTTTCCTCCGGAGACCAGCAATTCCGAATTAAAGAAGTGAATAGAAAGAATGGAAGGATTCAGATTTCACGTGATTTTAGATTAAAGACCGCACGACGATTATAGGTGGAAACTTCTAAAGATATCCTTCTCTCTTTTCGAGCCGAGAGATTCTCCGAACGACTTTCTTACTAACGACCGATTTGAAACGATTGCTTCATCGTCCACTTCTACGACTATGAATGGGCCAGCTAGACGAAGACAAAAGCCGCCATTTCCTCAAATCTCTGCTGAATGACATTCGGGGAACGCTCGAGGAAGACTAGTCAACCGTATTTTCTGTACCAGATGCTAGAGTGTCTTTTAAAGTACGTCAGAATATATTTTACATGAAAATTACGTACTGTATAACATTTAAATTTGATCGATAGCAATCTAGCAAAATTCTCGTCGGATAAATTTGATCCTAAATGTAATACAGACAAGATGGATAAATAACTTTTTTAACTGCATATGTTGCAGCTCGCTTGAAAAATCGATGAATATCAGGAATCTGCACTTAATAACGCGCACTACCAAACGATAGTCAATTTCACTTTTAAAAATCACGGATTTACATAACGACTTTGCCACGCCGCAAAATATGGAACGCAAACGTGTCGCAAGCGTGAGTTACAAATTGAACAATAGTTAGAAATTGTCTGGCTATTATAAAAGCAGTAGTAGAATTACAGTGAGATACAGAATACTTCTGTACCAATACTTCTGTACCAATACTTTTTTAAACATTGCCCAAGAGGGGCTCTTTTTGCAAAGCGTGTCGATTTAAAAACTCTTGAATTTTATGTTCAATAAAAGAAGAGAAAATCGTTTCGCGAAAAGTGCACTATTAAAGTGATTATATCAATTGTCACATAAGCAATTCTATCGATAACCAATTTTTTCATTGCGCCAATGGATTGCGAAATCGTACTTTGACAACTTATTCTTTTTCAAAAACATAGAACAATTAAATTTATCAATAAGATTAGTTAAAAAAATGTATACATATATGTATATATATTGAAATTATATGCATAATTTGTGTTAAACATTAAAAAATGTTTACTATTAAGATGAAAAGAAAGTTATTTTGCATTTTATTATTTATTTGTCAAAATGCAAATCGCAGATGAGAATGTGATTGTCGAAGCACGATTTTTAGCAATTATGTAGTAAATATTGGCAAATGAAAAGAGAGCAAATAACATCTTGTGTAATCACATGCAATTATAATATAATGAATAAATTCACTCACCGATTGTTGTTTCCTAGTCCAGTAAATTTTCAGCTTCTTCCGCACCTAGAAAAATTAATGCATATTTTAATTATAATAAATTATCATATATTTCACGCATGTTTACTATTATATATTATTTCATAAATTTAATGATTTCCATTATGATTAAAACATAACTATATAATAAATTGCGTTAATTATTTTCATTATGTATATATAATATATACATCATTATTTACAAATTAAAATATGTATATACTTTAATGATAAAACACATATAATAATTGCAACGTAGAAGATCTGTGAGTAGTATTTTTTCGCGTAAGAGGCGTAACAACAACCAGATATTTCCCCAATGCCTCCAATCTAGCAATACTTTGATATTGAGCTTGCTATGCAAATATCGGCCGCGAACGATAGGAAAACTTCTTCACTTTGCCCTGTAGAAAATGTTGTTTTTGCCATTGGAAATACTCCGATCCGTTGCGTAGCCTGCTTTTGTTGGGCGTACTTCGCGTTCGACGTCGATTTCCCGTTAAGTTACTTTCGAGGATAGATTATTGGCCAGATACAGAAGCTGATATCGGAATATTCTTGGCAAATGCGCATATGTACTATATTTTATTCTTGCCTTTTTACTCTTGTTTTTTTATTTGCAAATAGGTACTTTTTTTAGTACGTTATAAAATCGTTCGAAATTGTGATGTCCATTTATCAAAGTATTGCTTGCAGCAATACAGTGCACTATATTTACAGTTGCGCATAAAATGAGTTATCAAATAACAAAAAAAAAACGTAAATGTAGAGATAATCTCACATCTCAATCGTTTTTGTTTATCATTTAATTTATTAAAGTTTAATATTCAAATTTAATTTCTTGATGTACTTTTTATAAAGTTTAATCAAGTGGGAAAGTATCGATGTGCTAAATTTATCGACTCAAGTTTGCGTTATACGTAAAGTAATATACATAAATTTGGATTAAATATTAAATCTAAACACGTTTTAGCGGCAAAACGTGCATTACTTAAAGGATTACCTCGTACATCTGTCAGCCAGCAGTTAGCTCTTGCATTATTTTAGTCCGATACGTTGTAGTCTATCTTCTTTTGTAAACGCATAAATCGTGGATCCGGGGCAAGAGGAGCAAAATAAGTCAGCTCGCATAGTTATAAGGCGCGAGCAATGTAATACAAAAGGGGAAACAAGAGAAAAGTGAGAAAATGGGGGCGAGAAGAGAATGCGAGGACAGAACAAACGCTACGCATAGTAGGGCTCGGATTGCCGTGTTGGCTGTTGTTCAAATGGTCTATCCAACAATAAAAAGCGATGCACGTCTTTTCCGGGAAATCCCCTGCTTCCGCGAGATTCAAACGCGGAGAACCTCGAATGCGTGGGCGGGCGCGCAAGCACGGGGAAAGGAACAAGTAGAAAGCTCGACGACCCGCACCGTCGTTGGAGCTTTCCGCTCTCTCGCTCACTGTATCTCATCTTCATCCCCCTGCGTTGTGTTCCTCGCTCCTTCCTTTACTCTCTCCGGCTCTCTCAGCCGCGACGGCTCCCTTCCTTCTTATTCCTCCCCTCTCCCCGTCTCCCAAACGGCCCGTCTCACGAGTGGCCGAAGGAAGAAATGTGTTTGTGTTTGGACTCTCGCCAGATAATCTGCGGCAATAAATTTCTGTGTGTATAGTGCCATGTGATTGGTTTTATCTCTCACGGCACTCACGGCACGACCGGGCTCGCTGCCACGGTATACCTAACCCTTTACCTCGATTCGTGGCGAGAGGACGATAGATAACCGGAAGGAAGGACGATACGGCATGCTAGAGCGCGGTCGTTGTGCGGCGTGCTCGGCAAGAGTGGATAGGTGGCCACCTACCCGAGAAATCAACCCCTAATTCGTTTACCGCGTGAGAATCTACCGTGGACCGGCTTCCCCTTACCGTCCGTGCCTTGCGGGTGTATGCCTTGAATTGTAAGCGGGCTCGTCTTATGCCCCGAGGGTGTCGGAGGCAGTTTCAAGTTAAGAACGTCTCGTACGTTTTGTATACGGCGTTTATCCAGCTTCATCCAAGCCGCTGAAGAAGCTTTCCTTGCTTATAACTTTTGAGCATCAGCATTCACTAGTGTCGTCACACGTGAATGGCTAAAATATCAGGGAACGTATCAGCTGCTACGGTTGTTTATGCAACATACAAGATGTTTTATAAAGTTTGTCACAAACTTTGCGATATATTCTTCGACAAGTTCGTAATCTACTTTTTCTTTATATCATGGCATAATTGCCAGAGATGTGTTTCAAATGCGCATTAATGCGCATAAACTTTAATTTTATTACGTATATATATTTCAAACAACTTCTTTCGTATTTTCAATAAATGTGAATACCGATTTCTATAAATAACGTTAGCTTCAAATTAATTATACAATTATATATAGTTAACACGTGTATTTGATTATGGGAACGCTTGATAAATTGTGCAACGGCAATGTAATTATTATAATTTTTCTCTTCTATGACTATCATCTAAATTTTTCTAGGAAATGCGTTACATACTTCCAGAAGGCGATATGTCTTATGTTACGTATGCAACATGCGATTTAGCTATTCTGCAGAAACCAGGGCTCACCTCTAGAATTCCTTTACACTGCAACTACGGAGGTAACGTCGAAAAACGGCCTGTTGCACATGACTGTGAAATATATCAGCCGACATAAGAAGTGGGTTATATTTGAAGATGGCATTCTTGGAGCGAGAATTGAAACTGTTATTTCCTAATATAGCCGGATAAAATAAATTTGTATCGCTACCTTTAGTTATATGGAAACTTCTTTTATTAGCCAATACCTTGCACAATTAAAACAGATTTACAAATAAAAGCTTTATTAAAATGAAATATATTTTAATAACTATGTGGTAAAAAATTCTAAAAATATATTTCAGATAATGCCTGACATTGCATACATTTATTTGTTAAAGTTTCAAATAAATCTCGAATAATTGAGAAATCGTTGGAACTACCTGAAATTCTTCCAGTCTGACCATCCGATTTAATCGAATAATTCAGATCGCAACTCACAACTTTCATATCTTTTTGCACAATCACGGAGAGTGATCTTTGATGCTTCCAGCAAAGAGAACGTTCGATTGTTCTCGAGCTTTCGAGCAGTCGCAATTACAAGTTGTACTGCGAGCGTAGTGTCGTGCGACTTTTCCAGTCATCCTGTACCCGTTACGAATGCAACGCGTTCTCATACAGCTTCTACAATGAGTGTATCGCCGTATTACAGGCATACCTCCTCTGAAGGGTCTTTTAGGTCGGATGGAAGACGCGCGCGGAGACGCTGCCGCTTCGTTGGATAAGACGACACGATATCGATCGGACAGCGAGACAACCGGAACTGCTGCAATGATTCGTAGATACGGGCATAGTTTGAGTTTTCTACGTAGACACGGCTCGAGAAAGTCGTGTTATTTACGACGTACATAAGGTGCGATCGTATAGGACGGCTCGTATGGATTATCTGCATACCCGCGCCAAACCAGCGCGCTTATCGCGGACGTCGCTTCGCCCACTATATCTGGAACCACATTGAGGTAAAACGGAGAGGATTTGCTTAAAACACTGCTAGTCAAGCCCCGGCGGATGCAGAGAGCTTAGCTCGGACGGTTGAAGAGACTGCAGCGCATTTCTATATTGCAGTAACAAATTTTTGTTTTTTTTTTTTTGTTTTTTTGTTTACAACGCAAACCTCTTCTAACATCCTTAGCGCAACGACGCAAGAGGCATTTTTAACAAGTCGAAGCTTTACCATTAGTACTGTTGTACGCGAATCTATACGATAAACATAATGTCGGCGCGGCATTAAGCGCACTGCGGCAAATAATGTTAAATTCATAACGATAGAGCCATGTTAATAGCTATGCGGGCAGGCAGCGTTTGGTTTAACGTTTTGTTATAACCACTAAACACAGAGTGTATATTGCGTCTACGTAGAATGTATCGCAGTTATTTCAGTATATTGTAGCGTATATTACACAACCTTCTGTTATACATGTAATCCGTAACAATTTCAAGAACTCAGTGTAAAAGCGTTTAATTGAATTCCGACGTGGAGATCGACAAAAAGCGTTTGAAGCCTTGTCTTTTGCAACAATATCTTCATGCCCGCCGTATAATTTTTGTCAAATAGTCTTTCTTTATTTTCTCGTGTGATTATATAGTTCTATCCTACAGTCAGATAAAAGTTTTTCCCTTTAAAGCCTCTTTAAAATTTCCTTATTTCGCCTGACGTAGCGCGCTTTTGATGCGCACACCGATACTCTTGACGAACGGGCAATAAAAGACACGCATCGAAAAAACGATAAAACGACATACATTTTAGCATCTGCGTGAAATGACTGAGGGAGAAACGACGAGGGACAGGGATTCGATCTGACTACGGGGCTACGTCGTTTCGGGCAAAGTGTATTCAAAGTGCCCAAGCAGAGAACTTCCTCAATCCCTTTCCCGTTGGTTGTACATGGCGTTCTGCAGGAACTGGTGGATGTTGGTACAGCCGGAAACGTTGGTGCACGATCGTGAACGGAGTCGCACGATGGAGCCAAGGAAAATTGATGCTTCGAACCGTCCCCCAATGTCAGATCCTGAGGAGAATGGTTTTCGTGGTGTGTAGCGCAGGTCTATCGAAAGATCTCACGTCTCTCTGTACTTTCTACGTGTTATTCCTCCAAATTTCTGTACGTCTCACGTTAGCATCGTGATCTCTCTTTCAGTGCTTCATTACTTCGCGGATTTTTTTTAAATAAAACTGCTCCGTTTATGTCGCGTATCATTATAAGATCGTACAAGTATTTTCTCAGTATCATATAACATTTTAATATTTTTTAAATTCATATCTCTGAGTAAAAATTAAATTTTTTTCTTTATCAGATTTCATCTTTTTCACGAATTTTTTTAATTTCAACATTTTATGATTTTTTAAAATTGAAACTTTGAATTAAAAATCTTGAAATCTCTTCAATTAACTGAAAAATAATTCTATTTTCTATCACAATTCTT